CTCCTTCCTGGTGCGGTGAGTCCCCCTGCCCAGGGTTAGGGGCGGTGGACAGGGAACTGCAGAGCCTGCCCCACCCCCAGCCACACCCTGTCCCCCCACACAGCAGGCAGGTGATGAGGCTCTGCTAGGAGGAGCAGGGGACCTTCCTATCCCATCCTTACCTAAGCATTCCCAGGAAGGTGCCCCTGGAAGGAAGACCCCATCCCTCCACACTGCCTCCCCTGACTCTCCTGAACTGAGTCTGGGCCACCACGTGGCAGCAGACCTGATAGATGCCCTCTCTCAGTTAATCTCCCAACAGCCCTGGACAAGCCACCAAGACTCAGAGAGGTTAAGGAATATGCCCCAGGGTGCACAGCCCAGCACATGGCCAACTAGGAATCAAGCCGGGCCTGTTTAGGGTTCCCAGCCTCCATTCTGGTAATGGAAAATATTGAAATGTCATCTTTTATTATTATAAGCACGCTGTTTTACCATTATACATACCCCACTTTTATTCTTACGATTTTCAATTTCATTTCTGATGGTGCCCACCCCCCACGGTTGAGAAGTCTTCTGCTTCCGGTCTCTTCTGATCTGCCTTTCACTGTTGGAATGTTTAAGGACAATCTCTGGTCACCTTTTCGTGACCAGAGCTCACAACCCCAAGTCTCCTAGCACAGTCTGGAGAGGTCAGGGCCCCTCTGCCCACTCATGCCCTCTGCTTTGGATTCCAGCAATGACATTGCCCTCATCAAGCTCGCAGAGCCTGTGGAGCTGAGTGACACCATCCAGATGGCCTGCCTGCCAGAGGAGGACTCCGTGCTGCCTCAGGACTACCCCTGCCTTGTCACTGGCTGGGGTCGCCTCTGGAGTGAGTACAGACCCAGGGGGAATTCCCAGAGGCTTCCTGGAGGAAGCAGCTCTCAATCAGCAGCCACACGCACCTCTCTTCCTTTCTGCCTGAACATTCTCACCTCTTTTTGAACTGTACAATAACAACTGCTAATATTTTTTAAGCACATACTATGTGACAGATGTTAACAAATGCATGTAATGAGTGCAGTAAGGATTAAATAGATTTGTTTACAGCAGGGCTTGGCATGTTGTAAGTGACATATAAGCCCACTAAATAAGCCTTGTGGGGGTGGGGAATTAGATCTTATGGTATACCCCATGGCCAAATAGATTGCAGCTGAATTAAAAGATTCAATGCAGGGGCTGGGCATGGCTCAGTGGCAGAGCGCTGATCTAGCATGTGTGAGGTACTGGAGTCCATCCTGAGCACCCATAACAAATAAAATAAAGGTATTCTGTCCATCTACCAATACAAAAAAAAAAGATCTTTATAAATTTTTTTAAAAAGAAAATATTGCTAAGTGCAAATAAATGAAACTATGGGAAACAGATTCAGAACATTACTTAGGACACCTTGGGGTAAGAATGATCCTTAAATATTTAACCCCAAAGTCAGACCTACAGGGAAAGGAGTGAGGATTCAACCCCCAGAATCCCAATGAAACACAATTCAATCTGGGCACAGTAGCAGGAAGATCACAAGTTCAAGGTCAGTCTAGCAACCTACCCATTCCCAAATTAAAAACAGAAAGGGCAGCCAGGCACAGTGGCACACTCCCATAATCCCAGCTGCTCCAGAGGCTGAGGCAGGAGGATCATGAGTTCAAAGCCAGCCTCAGCAATGCCCAGGTGCTAATCAACTCACTGAGACCCTGTCTCTAAATAGATGTGGCTCAGTGGTTGACTGCCCCTGAGTTCCATCCCCGTACCAAAAAAAAAAAAAAAATACAAAGGGTTGGAGATACAGCTCAGAGGTAGAGCAAACTGGGGTTTAAAGTTCAGCACACACACACACACACACACACACAAAAATGTTTTCATTTAAATTAAAAAAAAAAAAAACAGACAACTCAGCACACAGCTGTGTCTTGAGGCTCTGAAGGTAGCCCCTGCACTCCTTCCCCACCTTTAGCAGATCCTTGGCTGGCCGAGGGTCCCAAAGAGCACTTGTGTGGTCCCTATTGAGTTGCAGCAGGACTCAGCTGCACCCTGTCCCAGGCTCTGGCCCCTGAAGGCCTGGGCTAGGAGGAGCGGGGCTGCCTGGCTGCTCCCTGCTCACTGCCCACTCCCCCCCTCCCCAGCCAATGGCCCCATCGCTGATGAGCTGCAGCAGGGCCTGCAGCCCGTGGTGAGCTATGCCACGTGCTCCAGATGGGACTGGTGGAGCTTCATGGTGAGGAAAACCATGGTGTGCGCTGGGGGTGACGGCGTCATCTCCTCCTGCAACGTGAGTGTCCAGACCCCACACAGGCCCTGCTCCACGCAGCCACACCACTGGGGACACTGGAGGGTGGGGCAGAGCACATCTCTCCTGGCAGGAGACTGACCCTGCCTGGGCCTGGTAGGCTCAGGGGAAACCTGTCACCACTCCCCCAGCACAGGGTGACAGAAGGAGAGCTGAGCATCAGCAGCTGCATCAATTCCCTGTGCACCACTTAGAAGCTCTGTGACCTGGGGCAGACTGATGAACCTCTCTGGACCTCAGCCTTCCCTCTGATGGAAAGCGCTGTAGCAAACACTCCCCAGCCTTGCTGTGGGGACTACATGAGTCAAAGGGCCACAGAACAGGCTGCACTGAAGTCTCTGTGCATGTCCCTGCCACCAGCTGCGTCAGTCTAGGCTGGCTGAGGCGTTAGGGAGTCTGAGAACCACAAAACTTCTAAGATAACCAGGGACTGTCCTGCTCCTGACCCACGCCCTCTCCCCACTCCCACCCTCCTGTCCTGCCCAGGCTCCAGCAGGGCTCCAGGCCCCAGGGGTTCTCAGGGCAGCTCACAGAGGCTTAGCCATGCAGACCTGAACAGCCAAGAAACCAGGGCACAGAGAGGGCTGACATCATCCCAAGATCACACAGCCAACCAAGGGCTATTCTGATGCCCCAGGACTCCCAGAACCAGGCCAAGGCAGCCCCACGCCACACTTCTGTGCCTCCCTCACCAGGAGCAGGCTGAGGCCAACAGTGGGTACTGAGGCTGACAGCTCAGCACATGCCCGCCCCAGCCACTGCTCAGTCCCCAGCCTGTCCCTGGGGGAGGCCTGGGGACTGATGCCTGCTGGGGTCTCTTGCAGGGGGACTCGGGCGGCCCGCTGAACTGCCAGGCGGAGAACGGTGCCTGGGAGGTGCATGGCATCGTCAGCTTCGGCTCCGGACAGAGCTGCAACACCCTTAAGAAGCCCACGGTCTACACCCGCGTGTCTGCCTACATCGACTGGATCAACCAGGTGGGCCCCGCCCCGCCCCGCCCACGCCCTCGCTCATTGGCCCAGGGGCTTGGTCACGCCCACTCCCACGCCCCTCCCTCTCTTTGGAGAAGCGCTGGCTGAGTGCTCACTGCTGCTGACCTGAGTTGGGCGCAGTGAAGGTCACAGTCAGGAGCGACATCCAGCCCTCCCTGGGCTTCAGCACACACCTAGGTCCCCGCCCAGGACACACCTTCCCCCCAAGAGGGAGCTTTGCGCCTAGAGTTCAGGGTCCCCAGCCGAGAGCGGGTTCCACAGCGGCCATTCACCGTGGGAGGTGGGGGTGAAGTGCCAAGTGGGGCTGGGTCCTGGGGCAGAGACCAGGGTGGCTTGTCTGGGCCGGGGGCTGCCTGCTGTGCCATGCACGCCCCCTCCCCAGGCCACCCGAACCCGCAGAGCCTCATGCTGCCCCACAAGGTGGCAGGTCCCAGAGGCCTAATACTGTCCCCTGCTCCTCCAGAAAATGCAGCTGTGATTCGCCTCTGGGAACCGCGGCAGCCAATCCCACAAGAGCAATAATAAACTTCCTTCCCTGAAAGTGGCCTGGACCTTGATCTCTGTCCCCACCCCCTTCCCTGCTGCCTGGCCAGCTCCCCAGGAGCTGCCCCTCTCTACACAGGGGCCCACTGAGAGACACCCTCAGCCAGGCTGGCAAGGCCTCGGAAGGAGAGACACCCTCAGCCAGGCTGGCAAGGCCTCGGAAGGAGGCAAGGGAGTCTTGGGGCAGCGTGGGTACCTGAGGGGCCAGGATTAGGACACTTGGAACATTTTTCCCCTCCTCTGACCAAGCTATGAATGAGGTGGCTCTGATCAGCTAATGGCTCCTCTGGTCCTGCCGCCATAGTGAGTCTGGAGGGGCCTCAAGGGCCCCAGCTGCAGGTAGAGCATGGCTCTCCCCAAGAGCAGCCTCCCCAGCCCAGAGAAGCCAGGCCCCAGGAGGATGCACAAGCTCAGGACCCCACTGAGCCCTTGGGGAAGGAGCTCCCATCAGGTTCCCCCAGCCCCAGTCCCAGGGAGATGTTGGCCTGGGCTCTGTGCTTGGAGCAGCACGTGGTGAGCCCTGACGGGGTGAGATCTGCAGGGACTCCAGGGGGAGCTCTCACTATGTGAGACAGGGAGGGAAACTGAGGCCCCCAGAGGAAGAGCTGGGCCAGGGCCCCGAACACACAGCCTGAGGAGCTCGGGAAAGGAGCTCTCCTGTGGCCGATGGGGGGCCACAAACGCAAGCAATCCAGTGTCCAGTGAGGGACAGCCGAGGTGGGCACACTCCTCTGGACATAGGGGCTTCTATATGGAGGCCATAGAGGCCCGGGCTCAGCCTGCACTAGTCCCACTGACAGCCCTGACTGGGGGCAGCTCTGAATTATCATTAAGCCCTCTGCCCCTGAGTCCCAGCCCCGTCCCCAGATAGAGCCCCCAAGGACCTCAGACTCACTGAAACTGTAACTCCCACACTGAACTCAGTCCTCTATGAGCCCCAGACCTTCTCTGAACCCCCAGATTTCACCTGGCTGTGGGGGAGCCCTGCCAGCCCCGCAGCCTTCTGCCTTCATGGGCTCATCTGAGAGGCAACACCTGTGCCCAGCTCCTGTCCCAGCAGCCAGTGATTCAGGACCTGTCAGTGGCACCTGCCCATCTCTCAGGCTCTCCCCCATACCCTCCCCCAACCTGGCACTGCTTCTCCTGAGGCTCCAGGACATCATCTGGGCACATCCACCACCCCCTCAGCCTGTTCCCTCGACATGGTTATTTTTCCAGCACACACAGGCCCTGGCAGCTGGGGAC